CAGGCTCCGCGCGGGTCGGAGTGGTGACGGCACTACAGCGGCGGGGGCGGAGGCGGTGGCGGGGGGGGCGCCTACGGAGGCGGCACTCGCGGTCGTAACGCCTGGTGTGGAGCCGCTGGGGCGGCCCCTCGACCCTGCAGCCGTTCCAGCGGCGGGGGCGGAGGTGGTAGTGTGGGTGGCGGAAACGGTGGTGGCACCGGCGGCCGCACCGCCTGGTGTGGAGCCCCAGTGGCGGCCCCTCGACCCAGCGGCCGCTCCAGCGGTGGGGGCGGAGGCGGTGGTGGCGGCGCGTTCTCCGTTTTCCTTTTGGCACGATGATGTCCACCCCCGATAACGGCACATCCTTTTCTTTTCTCGCGCACCCTTCGCTCGGCGTGGGGCATGCTCATCGAGATGGAGCCGACTGCACACCTCAGTTACAGTAACCCAAAACAACCTGACGTGGCGGCGGCGAACATCGGCAAAGGGCATGTGCGCCTCGTTGGCGACTTGAAACTGACGAGCTCGCTTGCGTGCAAGGGTGGCGATCGGCTCGGCTGGAAGGGGGCTTTTGTCGCCTTCGGCAACACCGAGCGGGCGCTGCTCGACTTAGTGTTAGGGCATGCTGCATGGCCGCGGCCGGGAGGGGGGGGGGAGGGGGGGAGGGAGGCGGAGGATGCAGAGGCGGAGGCGGCGGCGGCGGAAGAGGAGGAGGGGGAGAGTGAGGGGGAGGCGGAGGCGGGGGCACCTGTGACGGCCCACTACGAGAAGGGCGAATACCGGTTCGCGCGGGAGAAGAATTGCGACCTGCGTTTGCTCGACTTCGAGACGTTCGGCGGCTTCGGGGACGGCGTCCGCAGAATTCTTCGGCAGGCGGCGGACCAGCTGAGTAACAAACTTTCGCACGCTCAGCACCTCGATGAGGTCACATGGACCACCAAGAACTGGCACGGGCTGCAGATGCAGCGCTTGTCTGTCGTTCTCCACACCGCCGTGGCGTGGCAGACGGTGAACGAGCTAGCGTGCGGGGACAGCGGCATTGTGCACGGAGCTAAGTGCATTGCCGTTCTTAACGGAGTCGCTTAGGCGGCTCCGGTGGTGTGCCGGTGATAGTACTAGCACGCGCCAGTTCGCACCTGTGTCGAGCCTGTCTGCTGTGAGAGAGAGTTGTTTGTTTAAATTCTTTTCTCGCGATGTCTGCCCCGCCGCGCCGCCGCTCGCGCCGCCTCGCCACCGCCTCCTCCTCCGTCCCCTCTCCAGACACGCCGCCGCCCACCCTCCTCCTCGACCTGCCCACGGACCTCCTCCTGCGCACCCTCTCTCATTGCCACAGCCCCGCCGACATCGCTCGCGTCGCGGCCGTCTCGCTGCTCTTCCACGCCTCGATTGCGCTGGAAGGCATCCGCTTGTGGGCGCGAGAGCGCGGCTTCGAACTGCCGGCGCTGCCGGAGGGCGAGAGCTGCGCCGTGCGGTGGTTTTGCTTTGTGGCACTGCTGCGCGAATACAACCCGCCGGCGAGGGCGGCGGCAGGCGAGCGGCACAGCGTCTTCATCGACGGCGAGGGGCGGCTCTTGTCATGCGGGACGGCTGAGAGCTGGACGCCAGGACTGCTCGGGCACGGCGAGGGCGTGGCGCGGCTCAACACGCCGACCCGCCTCCCGTCGACGCTGAGCGGTGAGCGCGCCGTGAGCGTGGCGGTTGGAGGATTCCACTGCCCCGCCCTCACCAGCAGCGGCGCCGTTTGGAGCTGGGGCCAGGGAGGCTTGGGCGCGCTGGGCCACGGCGACCTTCAGGACCAGTGGCAGCCGACGAAGATTGCGGCCTTTGCGGGCCAGAGCGTCATCGCAGTCTCGGCTGGACTCGAGCACAGTCTTGCCCTCACCGGCAACGGCGTCGTCTGGAGCTGGGGCGATGGAGAATACGGCAAGCTGGGCCACGGCGACGAGGAGAATCAGCCGCTGCCCAAGAAGGTCGAGGCCTTTGCGGAGCGGAGCGTTGTCGCTGTCTCGGCTGGAGGGTCGCACAGCCTCGCCCTCACCGCCGACGGAGCTGTCTGGAGCTGGGGCTATGGAGGCTCTGGACCGCTAGGCCATGGCGACGAGCAGCGCCAGCTGCTGCCCACGAAGGTCGAGGCCTTGGCTGGCCAGCGCGTCGTGGCCGTAGCGGCTGCGTGGCAGCATAGCTTCGCCCTCACCGCCGACGGCAGCGTCTGGAGCTGGGGTGGGGGAGGCTTTGGCAAGCTGGGCCACGGCGACGAGCAGGACCAGCTGCTGCCCAAGAAGGTCGAGGCCTTCGCTGACCAGAGCGTCGTCGCTACGTCGGCGGGAACCGGCCACAGCCTCGTCCTCACCGCCGACGGCGCCGTCTGGAGCTGGGGCGCTGGAGTCTACGGCCAGCTGGGCCACGGCGACGAGCAGCGGCAGATGCTGCCCAAGAAGATCGAGGCCTTGGCGGGCCAGAGTGTCATCGCCGTGTCGGCTGGATTCGCCCACAGCCTCGCCATCACCGCCGACGGCGCCGTCTGGAGCTGGGGCAAGGGTGAAGACGGCTGCCTAGGCCACGGAGAGGACCTGTCGAACCAGCTGTTGCCCAAGAAGATGTGGGCGCCGGGGCAGTGAGCAGGGAAGGAGGCGAGGAGCGCAGGAGCCGAGGTTACTGACGTTACTGCTGTTACACCTAGCGGTCCACATCACGGGTACGGGCACTCCCCCTCGAACTCCCCCGTGCTAGGACGCGATAGTGTGTACTTCCAACAACAGCTGTGTGACGACAGCGGACAGGCTGAGGACACCCGGTGTCCTGCACGGCCCTACGCTCCCGCCTCCCCACCCAGCCGCCTAGGTATTCTTTTCGCACAACCCAGGGCGAAATCGTTGTAATGTGGACGTACCGTACAAAAACTCGCCTTGGACGGGGCTACGCATGGAACGTGTTTCCGAGCAGAATAGCAGAAGCGGGACGAGGACTCTCATGCCCTGGTGCCGGGGCCGATGATAGAGCTCTAAGTGAACGAGTTTACGCGGGCTCCAAATGCCAAAATTCATCACTGTTTGTAACGCACCCATCGCCACTCCAGTCTATATATATGTTCTGAACTTGGCGCATTAACCCTCCTACGCAGATGGTTTTGCGTGATTTTGCCCCCCCCGCCCCTAACATTATGGCCGACAGAGCGGCTGGGAGGCTAATGTTAGGGGCGGGGGGGCCGATCTGGTGTCCAGACCAGGGCTCGGCGCCATGAGCAGACGTATTTTGTCGTATCTGCGTAGGAGGGTTAAGGTAGCTGCACACACCCGCCGGGCTATAATTTGGGAATGAACACCAGGGCGCAGGCATCAAAAGGTGTTGGAAGAATTTAACCAATGCGGGGCAAGGGGGGCAACCCTCGCGTCTCCACGTCTGACGACAGGAGCCCCACGGCATTCAAAGGGCAAGAACCAGTGCGCGTGCGGGTGTGCGGTGTGGGGGGGGGGGGGGGGGGGGTCACGTCACTGCATCCCCACTCAAGTTTGGAGAGCGCCGCCACTTGAACAGACCGCCCGGCTGCCGCTGCCGCTGCCGCTGCTGCTCCGCTGGCGCTGCCGCTGCTGCTCTCCGCCCACACACGGCGCCGCTGCCGCCGTGCACTCAGGCTGTTCTCAGGAGGCGCCACACCAGCTGGCCAGCACTCAATCTGCAATCTCTGACGGTGAGATTCATTTCGAGTATGGGTGCTGGGGGAGGGTGCTTGAGAACAGTTTAAGGACAAGCGAGGAGGGATCACCAGGCACAAGACTCTCGCGAGGGAGAGAGATACTGAGAGAGACAGCCTCTCCGGTGCAGCGCTACAGGCGCTGCGACACCCGCTCTCTCCCTCGTGTCGAGCCCAGTAGGCTGCGCCAGAACCCGTAGAGCTCGCTAAAGGGCTGCGACGGCGCCCTGACGGAGAGCGCGCCCGAGCTCGCCGCCTTGATCGAAGCGGGTGGCGGTGGGCCGGCCTCGCTGCAGGCGGTGCTGCGCCCTTGCAGCGTGCTGGACGAGTTGGGGAACGGCGGCAGGTTGTGCTCGGAGCCTCGCGCTAGCGACACGTGCTCGGCGCTGACGCCTGCGGATGGGCGGTGGCCGACGGCGCCGCTGCTGCTCCCGCCGCCGTGCTCGGACTGCATCGAGCTACGCCAGGACGGAGAGTGCGAGGCGAGCGGGTACGAGTTGGACCGCGAGGGGCGCCCGCTCGGAGGCCGCCTCGGCGGAGGCGGCTGCGGCCGCGTGCTCGTCGAGATGGAGACGCGAGGGCTCGGGCTCTTGTCTCTCCCCTGCCCGTCGGCCGACGCGCCGCTCAGCCGAGCACTCCCCGGGCGGCTGGCGGGCACCTTGCGGAGGGTCACGTCCCTCGTCGGGCTCTGCTGGGGCGAGGGCCTCTGCGCGGCCGAGGCGCGCAACCGCTCCCGCTGCGACGCGCGCTCCCTCGCCTGCTCGAGCCGAGACACCCGCGCGCCCATCGCCTCGGCGGAGCTCTGCTTGCCCACGACGAAGCGGGGCCGACCTGGCGAGCCGGGGCGGCCCCGCGCCCCCGCGCCCCCGAGCTGCAGCGAGCGGCGGCTGCTGCCGTCGAAGGAGGAGAGCACCGCCTCCGAGCCGCGCACCTTGGGGCTCGCCGCCGAGAGGAGCGAGTGGCGGCGCGACTCGTAGCCGCGGCCGTCGGCGACCGAGTTGGGGCGCGCGAGGCTGTGCGAGCTCGAGTACTGTCCGCTGTCATGGGCGGTGTGCGCGGTCTGCCGGAACTGCTCCTGCAGCTCGTTCGCAATCTGCTTGAAGGACGGCCGCTCGGCGCGGTCGGCCAGGCAGCACCGCTCCGCCAGCTGCTGGATGGGCTCCGGCCAATCGGGGCAGAGGTCGTCGATGTCCGACGTCGGCCGGATCTCGCCCTGCGCGATGGCCTGCATGAGCGCAAACGGCGGCATCGACTCGAGCAGCTTCGTGTAGGGCGGGCAGCGCGTCGCGATGTGGACGAGTAGCCCGCCAAAGGACCAGACGTCGGCCTCGTTCCCGTACCGGTCCTGCCGCAGCACCTCGGGCGCCATGAAGACCGGCGTGCCCGCCATCGTCATCGTCATGCTCGTCTGCATCGAGTTGGTGCTGGTGGGCGTCCGCTCGCGCGAGGCGCCAAAGTCGGCCACCTATGTGTGGGAGATGTGGGGAGATGTGGGGAGACGTGGGGAGATGTGGAGAGAAGGGGCGCCAACGTCGGCCCACCTTGGCCGTCATGCCCGGCTGCTTGAGCAGCACGTTGCCCGGCTTGAGGTCGCGGTGTAGCACGTTGTGCTCGTGGAGGTAGGCTACGCCTCGCGCGACGTCGCTCGCGATGGAGACGAAGGGGTACGCCCACGTCGGCTCGGGGTTGACGTTCCGCTCGATGAGCTCGGCGAGCGAGAAGTCCATCAGCTCGGTGAGGATGCCTGCGGGTCAGTCAAGACTGATGAGGGACTGGCTCATCGATGACGCGGTCCATCGGCTGGTGAGGATGCCGTGGTTCATCTGTCGGTCCGACGTGATGCCTGCGCGCCGGCGCGGGGAGGCGGGTGAGCAAGCGCGGGGAGGAGGGGCGGGGCCGGGGCGGGGCCGGGACACGTCCCATCCGAGCGGCCGCGCGGCCGCGCGTGCGCGCGCAGAGCGTTGCGGCGGCGAGCGCTGCGCACCGATCATGAGGAGCACGTTGGGGTGGCGGAGCTTGAGCATGAGCTGCGACTCGTCGACGAGGAACTGCGGGCGGGTGGCGGAGGGGAGGCTCGATGGCGGGAGTCGGGGCTAGCGGGGAGGGCTGCAGAAGGGGCGGGCGGGGCTGCAAAGGGAGGGGCCCAGGGGCGGCGCGGCACCTGCATCTCGCGCTCCGACACCTGCCGCTTTCGCAGCAGCTTGCAGGCAACCTCCGTCGACGCGTACTCGGCGCGGTAGACGTCCCCCGTCGTGCCCGAGCCGATAAAGTCGTGCAGCACGACGCGGTCCCACCGGATGAGCTCGAAGCGGCTCCACTCAACCTCGTTGATGGCGCCAGACGCGCCGGTGAATGGCGACGCGGCCGATGCCATGCGCTGCCCCGTCGGCGAGTCGCCCGTCGCCTGGCGCGTGGCGAGGCTCGTCCGGTTGCCCAAATACTGGCTCGACGGCGACGACCGAGCCTGGTGGACGCCCGGAAAGCCGCTCCACGGCTCGGTCTTGATCTCGCTCAGCTCACTCAGCTGGTCAGACTTCGCCGTGACTGCCCTCGCTCGCACGGCGGCGCGGCGGGTCCCGAGCGCGCAGCAGCAGACGATCGCGGTTGCGAGGACGATGGCCCCGACACTCGACCCCACCGCGATCGCAAGCGTGTCGGCCCCGCTGGCCTCTTGGGCATCACCGCCCCCCGGGCCTGACGATGGAAGGAGCGGCGGCGCAGGTGCTGCGGGGGGCGGCGGGGGCGTCGGGGGCGGCAGGGGCGGTTGGGACGGCGGCGAGGGAGGCTGCGGTGGCGGCGACGGCGGCGGCGGCGGCGACGGCGGCGGCCGCGGCGGCGGCGGCGACGGAGGGGGCGGCAATGGTGGCAACGACGGTGGTGGTGGAGAGGGAGGCGGTGGAGATGGCGGCGGCGACGGCGGAGGAGACGGCGGCGGCGGCGAGGGTGGCGGCGGTGAAGGCGGCGGCGGAGAGGGAGGCGGCGGAGAAGGTGGATGCGAAGGCGGCGGAGGAGATGGCGGCGGTGGAGAGGGAGGCGGTGGGGAAGGGGGTGGCGGCGAAGGTGGCGGCGATGGCGGAGGCGGAGAGGGCGGCGGCGGAAAGGGAGGCGGCGGAGAGGGGGGCGGCGGCGCGGGCGGCGGCGGCGCGGGCGGCGGCGGCGAGGGCGGCGGCGGCGAGGGCGGCGGCGGTGGCGCCGACGGCGGCGGTGGCGCCGACGGCGGCGACGGCGGCGACGGCGGATCAAACACATTGACGCTCACTTTTGCGTTGGTGTATGTGTAGCTGGCGTCGACCTCGCAGCCATTATTTTCCTCAGAGTTCGTGCAGTTCCGATCCAGGATGCAGACCTTGTAGATCGCGTTGCTTTCGCACAATATCCTTCTCGTCACACTTCCTTCTTGCGCCGTGTCGTCGTCTTCGCTGCAATCGCCCAGCGTGAAGCGTGCCTTGCCATCCGCGATCACGGCCCACTGGTCTCTGGAGTTGGAGTTGCCATAGACCTGCGCTGCGCCGCCAACGCCGCCAATGTTGGGGCTCGGCTCGCAGGAGTCGGTCCCCGCGGGGAGAAACACGACGGTGAACCCGTTGTCAATGTCTTTACCAGAGAAGAGGATGGTCGTCTCAACACGGGGGACGACGAATGGGATTCCGCCGCGTCGTCCGTACTCTGTGTACAAGATGACGTCCGGCCCTGGCGGCGGAGAAGGTGGGAAGGGCGGCGACGGCGGCGGCGACGGCGGCGGCGCATAGTCCGCAAGGACAAGGCTCCCCGTGATGGAGTAATGAGAGTCTTCGAATTCATTCGAGCCGTCGAAGATGCAGACTTTGTATGCGGATGACAGTCTGTTGAAATCCGGCGGCAGATCGAAGTGCACTTGAACCGTGCCATTGGCCACCACAGCCCTGGTGCCTTCAACAAGCGGTCTGACTCCAACATTGATAGCGACGTCCCCTGCGCCCGTGCAGACCTTCGCCGCGTCGTCATTGATGAAGGCGATTTTGTTGGGGACGTACAGGAACATGACAATGTTGCCCTCGCTGAAGCCGTCGCCGGTGACGGCGAGAGAAGTCTCCACGCCAAGGGGGACGAAGCCGTACTGTTTGAAGCCAGCCTGTGAATTGACCAGCTCCAGTGGCTCGCCGAACGCCACCTCGGGCGGCGGCAGAGGCGGCGGCGCGGGCGGCGGCGGAGACGGCGGCGGCGGCGAAGGCGGCAAGGGAGGCGGCGGGCGCGAGGGCAAGGGGGGTGGCGAGGGTGGCGGCGGCAGGGGCGGCGATTGCGGAGGGGACTGTGGGGGCGGCGAGGGGGGTGGAGGAAATGGCAAGGGCGAAGGCGACGGAGGCGGCGGCTGCGGCGGCGGCTGCGGCGGCGGCGGTAGCTGTGGCGTCGAGGGCGGCGAGAGCGGCGGCGGCAGCGGCCGAGGCAGCAGCGGTGGAGGCGGCAGCGGCGGGCTGAGCGGAGTGTCCCCGAACTTTGCTTGCAAGTCCTCGGCCGCATGCACCACAGCGGCTCGCGCCAGGCCCGTCACGGCTTGCACCTCCGCCACGGCCGCCCGCTCTGCCCGGTCCACAAGCCGGCCGAGCGCGGCCACCTCTGCGACGGCGTCGTCCACAGAGCTGGACGGCGGCGGCTGCCCCGACGGGGCCGCCGCCGCCGCCACGAGAGGCGTGCTGGCAGCAACGGGCAAGAGGCACAGCAAGCCGATCACCCGCCTGGCCGGCTGCCGCAGCGAAAACGCCGCTCCACGTCGTTGTTGCCTCGCCAAGGAGTGCGCGAGCGGGTTGGAAGTCTGCGCCGCCCCGAGCGGCGGCGGGCCGCCCGGGCGGCGGCGGTGAGAGCAGCGGCTGCGCGTCGAAGGCAGCACGGAATTTCGCCGCACGTCTAGGAGAGGACAGGGCATGCTGAAAGGCAGAAAGGAGGCTGTCCCAGCTGATGTCACAGATGCGCTGGGCCCGACAACAACCCGGCCAGTTTTCTTTTTTTGAGCCGGTTCCTCACCTTTCTATCTCTCACCTTTCTAACTAAATAACTCGCTCTCCTACACCTCCAGTTCTTTTCCCTCCGGCCTGCGAAGTTCTTTTCTCAGCCTCGCAGGCCTCGCTTAGGCGGCTCCCGCGGTGTACCTGTGTTGTGCCAGTGCGCCCCCTCCGGAGCCGCGGGCCGATTCTTTTTCTGACTTGCTTTTTTGAGTGCCCAGCTCGACGCGGCTGCCTCCGCTGTTCGCCGCCGCCCTCCGCGCATGTGGCTCACTGCCATCCTCATCCTCCAATCGCTCACCATCGCCCTCGCCCTCGCCGAATCGCTCGCCCCCGTGTGGGGCTCCGTCTCCCAGGACGGGCTCGGCGCGGTCGCCGCCCAGCTCACGGGCGAGAACCTGCGCTTTGCGGCCATGTACTGCGTGGGGCTGCTCAACGGCTTGGTGCTCGCTGCGCTGCTCGGCCAGAGACGAGCGCGCCAGCCCGCGCCCGTGATCTCCGACGTCGTTGTGACGGCCTCGCCGCAGCGCAAGCCGCCGCCGGCCGCCCAGCAGCGCCCGCCGCTTCCAGACGTGCCAGCGTCGCTGCCGCCGCCGCCGCCGCCGCCGAGCACGCCGCGGCACAGCCCGTCCGAGGCCGATATCATCATGACACTCGACGAGTGAGCCCACGCCCCAGCCGCCGCGCAAGCCCAAGCCGCCGCGCATGGACGCCCAGCCTCTGTCGTTAAGACAGAGGAGAGACATCCAGGCCGTTTCCGCCGACCCCGCGCGGACGTCCGCTCCTCGACGCGCAGGTACGAGCACCTGGCGCGGGAGGAGAAGCAGGGCAAGCCGAGCCGCTCGGCCTCAAGGGCGGTCAAGGGGAGCAGTTCTCGCCGGCAGAGCCTCCGCACGCCCAAGAAGGCGAGCGGCCGCCGCCCTGCTCTTGCTCCGCGTGCGCGTTTTGCGTCGCGGACACGCGTGGCGGCCCACCCCTCCCGCCCTCCCCGCCGCCAGGTGGAGAAGTTCTCGCCGAAGTAGGGGAAGAGGGGAGCGGCTCCTCACGCTGCCGCGTGATCGAGGGGGACGCCCGGGCACGTGGCGGGCGGGAGCCCTTTGCACGGCGCGAGCCGTCAGCCGACGTGGCTAATCTGCGGTGAAAGTCTGGCCTCCCATCGGGCATAAGGAGGCCCCCGCTGGTTGTTATCCTTGGCCGTCCGCGTGCGCGGCGGCATGACAGGCATGGCATGTGGCGCCCCCGGGAGTGGATCCCTGGCGTCGGTTCAAAAAGGAAAGAAAACCCGCGGCAGATTGTTCCCTGAGGCTGAGCGATGTTTGTTGTCGCTTTTGAAAAGGCCCTTTTGGTTTTGCTCCCTCGTCCACGAACCACAACCAGCAACCACGAAGCTGTGAACAACAGTTCCTTCAGCACCCCGAAATGATCGCCCTTCGGGCACCTTCCCCACGCGCCCACGGGCACCCCAACACTCCCACACGCCGAGCCACGCGCTGCCGGCGCCCTGCATGACCCTCTCCACGCACACCGCGTGAAAACTGCACGTACGTCCCCGCGCGCACGCAAACACGCGCAGCGCCATTTCAGAGCTGTGCCATGTGCGTCTGCTCTGTGCTGCATCCTATGGCTGTCCCGAGCCGCCCGCACCAGCCACGCGCCTCTCGCACCACCAGCGCCAGGCGCACGACCACTCACGCCGCGACGCGCGCGCCGCAGTGCACCTCTCACTGCAGTCTGCGCCCATTGCACAAGCGCCTGCACCTTCTTCAGGCACCATACCGCACCGGAGCGCGACGCGACCGGCAAGACGCTTCACCGCGAGGCGCGCGCGGCGGCACGCCGCGCGCGCAGGCCACCTGAGCATGACTCTCGCTTACCCGAGGCAGGGCTGCGTCTCCCACATGTATGAAGACTGCCTATACTCCTCTCTTTTCGCAATCACTAGCCCCATTATAGTTCTCTCCTTCATAAAACCCTGCGGCCGTCCACATGCTGATCTAAAATGGCTTTTGTGGCGTTGCGTTGCATTCTTTCTTGCATTTCTCTGCGATCAGATAAATGTTTTTCATCCCGCCAACAACAGGGCACAGAGCACACACACATGCAAGCCAAGGCGCATGCACATGTACATGTACATGTTTGTCGTGCACGCCGCGCAGTCCCCGCACCGGCGATGCAGCCCGCACCCCGCGACAGTCGCCTGCCTCACGTCGAGCCCGCGCATGCCGCACGCAGTACTGTGCGCAGTGTGTATTTTTTATCTCGTCTTGGTATTTCTTGTTTGCCACAAAATCAAAAAGAAAACAAAAAACGAAAACAAAGATTTTGTAATAGGAAACAAACGGCCTCTTTTTTGCCAAGATCTTTATAGAAGAAAACTGACAGGAAAGAAAAAACACCGCGGGGACCCACTTCCCCCCCCCCCCCCCCGAAATTCAGAATCTTACAACAAAACTCCCTCGCACAACACTGGGCACGGGACTGGCGCGCACTGGCACTAACAGAGGTACACCACGGGAGCCGCCAATTCAGAAAATAAAAGAAAAACAGCCTAACCCTCCAGTAGGTATAACGCCGAGTGCCAGACCACCAGGGGGCAAGTGTGTGTAGCACCTTCGACCCCGAAATGAAGGTCGCCACGCAAAACCGGGCGCTAGGAGAGGTGAACTGAAGGCTGAGACAACGGAGGCCGAGCCTGAGTGGGCGCCCGCGCGCCCCCACACAGGCAAGCCTCTGTCCTTCGGCCCACTCCGGCGATCGTCCGTGGGCGACCGCGGACAACATGAGGCCTAATCAATTCCCTCACCACCCGACCCCCCTCTAGGGACAGCAGCGCGCTTCTCATCCCGGAGAGGGAAGGAGGGGGGGGGGGCGGGGGGGAGATCAGAGAGCCAGAGCAGGGAGTACCCCCGACGGACGCGAGTCGGGGGGAAAGCGAGACGAGAGATTCAAGGCGAACTTCATCGCCCGTCCAGGAGCCCCGCATTAGGTAGCGACCCCAGGTTCAGAGCTAGGCTTCCCGACAGGGCAGGGAACCCCCAGGCCAGCGCGCAGGCGGGGCCCACGGTAGCCTCGTGCAGTACGCGATACCGAGAGCTGGGGGAGAGGCGCGCCACGCCAAGGGGGACGAGTGACGGGAGGGGGAGAGTAGTGTCTTTCGCAGGATAAAACGCAATTTTTTTTCACAACCAGCAACCACGTCCTGCTCCGCCTTTTCCCGTTCCCGCCCTGCGCTCTCGTGGGCCGGCGCGGCCCGCGGCGCGGGGCGGGGCCCTTCCAGAGGCCAGAGGGTGTCCATGCACCATGGACCATGCGGGGGGGAGATGGGGTCCCATGGCCCGCCGCAGGGGCGCCGAGCGATTTTTGGATTTTTTTGGCGATTTTTTACTTGTTTTCATGGGAATTCGGCGTACTTGCGGCCATCGGCTATCACGCCTTGCGACAGCCTGTCGGCGCTGCTGACGCCGTGCCATGCTGCACAATTGATCACCTGCATAGCTCGCGGCCTTAGTATCCAGCATTCAGTGACGACCTGATCCTACGGCCAGTAGGAAGGTGTCAAGTTCCATCGTGTGCACGCTTCTGGCGCAATGCGCGTCGCCTCGGATTGGCTGCTGGCACTCTCGAGGCTATGCCTACGCAGCCTCGCGCGCATGGGCAGTCAAGGGACCACGCACCTTCTCAGGACAGCGCCGGTGCCTCTCTCTTGGACCGGCAAACTTGGTGGTCTCGTGTCACCAATGTGGGACCAGTGCGGCATCGCGCCATCGACAGCTCTGAACTGCGCCTCACCACTGACCGGGAAGGCCGCCAAGTGGGCCAGCACAGATCGCACATTGTGGCAGAAGTCAACAGCGCATGTCTGATAGCTAGAGCAGCAGCGTCAGGGTCGCAGGGTCGGATCGTGTCAAGCCTCTCGCCCGGCCGGCCGCGTGCAGACGTCGGCGTGTCTGCTGTCTGGAGTCGCGATCTGTCGGCGGTCAGTACGACCGATCAGGTCGGAGTTTTCTGATGGTTGGAGGGTCTATCTGTATGTACTCCTCGAGATCTCTCCAAATCTGCCCTCTGTTAGACCGGGTTAGATCGGGAAGTCGGTGCTAATAGAGACTAATCCCGCCGCCGGCGGGGCCGCCACCGTATGGACCCGCTCGGAATGACCTGGGGGATCCGGAACCGCCCCGCCGGAGGAGCTGGAGTACCCCGGAGGAGGAACTGGGGGAGGGGAGTTGCCGCAATACGATAACGGGCCTGCCGGCGAGCCGGAAGGCCGAGGCCGGAGGGCCCCAGGGGGGGCTTGGGGTCAGTTGTCGGAGGAAGCGAGAGGTGGGCTGACGCGGCCTCTGCGAGTGGAGTCGGGACGTACGGGCTCACCGGGGGAAGGCCCGTCGAGAAGGATGAAGCTCAGCCCTTTCTTATATTGTGCCAGTGTGCTAAAAAGAAAGAAAGAAAACGGACAACCCAAGGGAGGGATGGGAGGACGGCACGCCGCCACCACAGTGTGCTAAAGAAAGAAAGAAAGAAAACAGAAAAACCCAAACGAGGGATGGGGGAGAAGGACAGGGTCCACACACCACACCTGCACGAGCAGGATTTTGGAAGGACGATCAGGGGGACAGGTGGGGCTCTCCTGCTCCTGACAAGGGACACGACAGGCTCGCAGCGCGGTGCACGGTGGAATCCCAACTCCACTGGCGGTCGTGTGCTGTGAGAGAGGATTGGTACCTAGGTAAGATTCTTATAAGTCAAGGAAGCAGGCGACTTGTCCGTCGCCGTGAATCGTGTGTGCGACCTGTGCCTGCGAGCGAGTTCTTTACCAGGTTGCAACCCTTGTTCCGCACTGTGCTGTGAACAGAGCACCAACCAACAGCTCTCAGGACCCCCCGGTGCTGGGGTGCTGCCAGCAACCAACCAAGTCGAGCGGAGCAGCGTCGTTCCGATGTTTCGGCGGGCACTTCTCACCTAAGTCCTTGTGGCGGGCCGCCAGGCCCGGAAGCAGATGCCGACGAGGATCAGACACGGCGCGCTATCTGGGCTCGGAGGTCGGCAAAAAGGTTGCGCAACCGACACCAGCGACCAGGATCGTCGATCGAGGTAGGTGCACGCTGCTGAAGCAGTGCACCTACATAGTGCGGGACCTGGGGCAGCAACCAACAACCTGGATGGGGACGGGGTGCTGCTCAACCGGCGGCAAACAGCAGCGTTCACAGCCGAGTGCGGAACGAGGTTGCAACTTGGTAAAGAACTCGCGCGCGGTGCCTGATGTGCCTGTGCCTGTGACTGTGCCTGTTGTGCCTGTGCCCACACGAATGACGCTCGGACGCGTCGCCGAGCTGCTCGCCTCGCCCGGGCTCGCGCTCTTTGCGCAGCCGAGACTCCTCGCTGAGCTCGATCAGGTGAAGGCGAGCGGGCTCTCGGGCTGCGTCCTCGATGAGACAGAATGCCCGATGCGACCGGCGGGCAGTGCCACAGCCACATTGCCACAACCGGAGATCCGCCTCGTTGCCGCCAGCGGCGAGTGCGAGTGCGCGCACGATGTGCGGCGCGACGCTGCCGGCGGGTGGTCGGCCGACGCGCCGCGATCGGGCCCCAGCTCCGGCGGGCCGCGCCACTACGCCATCTCGGACGACCGTCTCCTCCTTCGGATCCAGGCGCCAGAGTCTGCCGTACCGTCCGTCAACTCGGCGCTGCAGCTCGACGCGCTCCGCGTGCTGGAGAGCAGCACCGCCGGCGGCATCGACTGGCTGGTGAGCCTCGACGAGGAGGAGGAGGAGGAGGTGGTGGAGCGGCTTTTCGCCGAGGGGAGCGCCGCTCCGTCCTGCGCATCTCGCGGGTTCCCGCTGGGCCTGGCACGGCGCTCGTGCTGCCGGAGGCTTGCCGCGTCGGCGTCTGCACGCCGGGCGCCCTCCCGCGCGGGACCGAGGTGCTGTGGAGGGCGGGGCTCGGTGCCCGCTCCGCCACGCCGCTCGAGCGCTGTATCGCTCCTCGACCCTTCTGGGTGACGGCTGGGCGTGCCGCCGACGCGTGCCTCGTCGCTCGCTCCCTCCCACGCGGCGCGGCATGGGCGGCGCACTTGCGCGCGAGCCCGCTGCCGACGCCGTCCGAACTGGAGAGCCTGCTCGAGGCGGGCTGTGGAGGCGTCGCCGTGAGGTGGGAGCACGGGGGTCGTCGACTTTCGTGTCTGCTCTCCCGAAATGTTTCCTAGCCAGTATCTTGCCTGCGAGCTGCGTGTGCAGATATGTGAGATGAAATTAGGGATGAAATAAATTTAAATAGGAGCCGGCCCTGCTCGCTGCTGCCGTTTCACGAGCGTAGAGCTCTACGGACTACGCCGCCACCACACAGGGATTTTAGGCCGTCCGCCTGCGCACCCTCCTCACGCCGAGGCTGACCAGCGCCTCGTCGCACCTCTCCGCCTGCCTCTCCACCCCCTCCTCCGTCTCTCGCGCCAGCGCCTGTAGCGCCGCCACGCCGCCGACCCGGTGCCACTGCTCAGCGCACGCAGACGAGGAGGTTGCGAGGGCGAGGAGGGCGTTGATGCTGTCTCTGCGCCAGCCATTTTCCTTGGGCGTATCGAGCCGCGAGAGCAGCAGCGAGAGGCAAGTGTCGTCAGCCACGAGGTCGGGACAGGTGCTGGCCAGGTACACAAGCGCAATGGCAGCAGCGAACTTGCAGAGATCCGAGGCACTTGCCGTGTGCGCGAGCGAGGAGAGGACCGCCGCACCGCCAGCCTCCACGACGCCCTCGTGCGTGGCAGGTGCTACCTCGATCATGTTGCTGAGCGCACACGCAGCATTCTCCTTCTGCCCCTCATTCCCGTCGCGAGCCAGCGAAATAAGCACCTCGATCCCGCCGGCCGCCGCGATCGCCGCCTTGTTGTCGTCGATCATAGAGAGGTTGCACAGCGCTCCTGCCGCACAATCCTTCTGCGCCTCATTCCCGTCGCGAGCCAGCGACACGAGGACCTCGATCCCGCCGGCCGCGGCTATCGCCACGCTGCTGTCGTCGTTGTCAGAGAGGTTCCACAGCGCCCCCGCCGCATTCTCCTTCTGCGCCTCAGTCCCGTCGCGTGCCAGCGCGATAAGGACCTCGATGCCGCCGGCCGCCGCGATCGCCACGCTGTTCTCGTCGTTGATAGCGAGGTTCCACAGCGCCCCCGCGGCTTCCTCCTTCAGCGCCTCACTCCCGTCACGAGCCAGCGCGACGAGGGCCTCGACCCCGCCGGCCGCAGCGATCGCCACGCTGCTCTCACCGTCCTCGGCAAGCTCCTGGAGCGTTACCGCGACGTCCACCTTCTCGCCCTCGCCTCCGACTCGTAAGAGAGCGACGAGCGCCTCCACCCTCCTGCCGCTGGCCTCCTCTCCCGACAGCCGCTTGAGCTCTCCGAGCGCAGCAGCTTGCAGCTCCGAGGAGGCATCGCCAGCGGTCTCCACGAGCATCGCGAAGGCACCGCGCGGCGCGCAGATCAGGGACCACCGCTTGCACACGGCCGCGTGGCGCAGCCCCGTCTTCTCGAGCACGCACAGTGCAAGGTCCGGGTCCGCGAGGACGTCGGTCGCCACGGCGGGCGGAGGGCTGTGGTGCGCGAGGAGCGCCTCGGCCCTCCTGTTTGCAGCGGCGCTGTCCCGCATGGCGCCGGCGGTGATCGCGATCAGGGCATCGGGCGGAAGAGCGGCGAGCCGCAGCTCGTAGCGGGCGGAGGCGAGCATTTCGCGGTGCCGGGCGATTTTTTATTTCTAATCATATTTCTTTTCTCTCCGATTGTTTTGGAATGGCTACACACGAACCCTGTTTTTCTTTTTGAAAGAGAGCCGAACGAGCGGGAGGGATCCGGTGAGGGGTCGAGCCGAGCCACGCCCGTGCGCCCAGATACATCGCCGTGCGCTCAACGACAGATGATCGCCCTGGCCGTCCTTTTGCCGTGCTTCACGCCCCGCGCCGCGACGAGGATCTCCCGCCCAACGCGTCTGCCGGTCTGGCCCGCTTGGCAGGGCGTGGCGCTCGGCGTCGCCTCGCAGCTACCGGGCCCGTTCCGCAGCTGGGCGGACCGGCTGGAGGACGCCTTCGGCGGCCGCGTCGCGCCCATCCAGTTCGACCCGCGCGAAGCCGACCCCTTTATCCTCTTGGTGCATCACCGGCACGCCTTCCGACCGCTCGACTTCCTGCGGCCGCTCTTTAGCGCAGCCATCATGCCAGAGGGCTTTCCTGCGCACCCGCACCGCGGCTTCGAGACGGTGACGTATGTGCTTCCCGGCCGCGCGGGGCTGGTCCACCGCGACTCGGAGGGCTGCCGGATGCGATACGGCGACGGAGCGGTGCAGTGGATGACGGCAGGCCGCGGGATGCTCCACGAGGAGATGTGGGACACCGGCGCGAGCGTCGACGCGGAGCTGTACCAGCTGTGGGTGAACCTGCCACCGCGAAGCAAGCTGGTGCCGCCGCGCGTCCAGCTCCTCCTCCCCTCCACCGCCCCTGCCGGCGGGGCGGCGGCCCAGGTGCAGCGCGAGGGCAGCACGCCGGTCCGGACAGGCCGCGTCCTCGACGAGGGCGCGACGCGTGACAGGACACGTCCACGACATGTCCGAGGCATGTCCACAGGCCGCGTCATCGACGAGGTCTCGGCCGACGGCGCGGTGCGCGTGCGCGGGATCGCGCGGCCGCCGGCGGAAGAGGAGGCTGCAGCGGCGGAGGCGGCGGCGGGGGAGGCGGGGGAGGCGGGGGAGGCGGGGGAGGCGGGGGAGATGGGGATCTCTCGAGGAATGCAGGCCGCTGGGTGCCGCCGCGCTGGCGCGGGAGGTCACCGTGCAGGCGGGGCGGCGCAGGGGCGGGGCGCCGAGACGTACTCGCCGATGCGGATGCCGCGCGTGTTTCTTTTTCACGGTTCGCTGTGTTTCTTTTTTAGGCGCCGAGACGTACTCGCCGATGCGGATCGAGCACGTCGAGATCGGGGCGGGAGGCGTGTACGAGCAGTCGCTCCCCGAGGGCTGGACGTGCATAGTCTACGTGCGGCGCGGTACCGTGGCGGTGGGCGGGGAGGAGGTTGGCATGCACGAGACGTGCCAGTTGGCGCGCCGCGGCGGGGACGGCCTCTCGCTGGCGTGCGTGGGCGGGCGGGCCGCCGACGTGCTCGTGCTCGCCGGCGAGCCGCTGGGCGCTCCGGTGGTCGCCTCGGGCACGATGGTGATGAACTCGCAGGCGAGATCCGCCGAGAGTCATCGAGAGTTGCCGAGATTGATTTGGGGGAGTCGCCGAGCCTGTGGCCTCGCCCTCCCCCTCCTCCCCAGTCTCGACCCTCCTCCTGACCCCCTCTCGGCCTCGTCGCCGTCTCACACCCCTCCCCGTGGGCCCTTAGGCTGAGGTCATATCTCCCACAAATCTCCCCCATATCTCCCCCATATCACACCCCTCCCCGGTGGGCCCTTAGGCTGAGGTGGACCGGGCGGTGATCGACTACCGCCGCGGCGAGTTTGGGCTCCCGTGGGAGCACACGCTTAGCGACGAGGAGTGGGCGCGGCGGTGCGACGAGCGGCAGGCTGAGAGGGGGCGGGGGACCGGTGGCGGCGTGGATGAGGATGGCGTGCGATCGCCGTTCCCATGATCGAGAGACGAGAAACTGAAATATCGTTATTAGCATGCGATGTGTACAGAGTCTCTAATTTAGAGAAGAGAGAAACGTTTAACAAAAAACAGACAACCCTCAACCCCGACATTAGTAAATCATTAGCACACGTGTCAAAGTGAATTGGAGAACTAGCCAAACATTCTCAGATCGCTCACATGTCACATCTCACAACCCCGAAAAATCATATTCACACACAGCATTTCACCTGACATCACTCGACGGGGAGTGCCAAACCGGTTTGGCCAAACCGCACCTATAACGTAAGTTCTAACTCAGCCAAAGTCGTTACCAATCTCTCACTTCACTGTACACTGAGACCCTCCCCATCCTTCTCTAGAACCTCAGCCCACCCCGTTGGACACCGCCCGCCCCCCCGCCCATTCTACCGACTTCCGAACGCCGAGTCCCTTCCCTCCGTGTCCAACCGCTCGGCCGCCCGCCCGCCCCGCCCGCCCGACACCCCGACTACCCGCCCAGCCGACCCAGGCCCGCCCCGGCCGCCCGCCCCGCCCCGGCATCCCGCCCCGCCCATCCGCCCGCCATGGCAGAGCCTCATTTCGCTCACGGCCGTGCGGGATGCAGGTGCTTCCGTTGGCGATGGACGCGAGCTTGGCGCGCCGGAAGCTCCCCCCTGGCGCGTAAACTAGCCTCCGTTCGCTCACAGCAGCGCCCGCAGGCGGCCGCTCGTCTACCGGCAGATGTGCGTCGAATGCCGACGAGGCGTAAACGCACGCCGGCAGGTTGACAGCCTCGCCGCCGTCAGTCAGAGGATTCACCCATACGGGGTCTGGCCGCCAGCCATATGTACGGTTGCACGAGCCGCTCGCGGACTGCAATGCCGCAACCACCTCGGGTCGAGGCTGCGCCCTAGGCTCCACGGCGTCATACGAGATGGGATACGGGCGCCGGAGAATAGCGTGATTGTTCCACATCTCGACAAACCACATTCGACACGAGGGCCTTGGGCATGCAGCGGAGCCGTCGGCGCACGTGCAGCGCGGCGGCGGTCCACCCGACGGAGGGCCTTCGCGGCGGCGGCGCTCTTGCTCGGCGTCGCTGCAGAAGGCCTTCTCTGCGGCCACATTCACCGTGGCGCCTCCGAGTGGCGCCACACACCAGTCGCGCGGCCGCACGAGTGCAGGGCGGCCGAGGGCGTTTATCTGTGCGAGCAGCAGGAGCGTCGCGTTGCGCCGCCGCAGCCCGTGCTCGATGGGCAGAGCAATGTCGCGCTCGAAGCCGTCCCACGAGCACAGGATCTGGTTATCATTCGAGCCGACCTGGCCGAGTAGCAGATGAGCCGCCGCCTCCCCGCCCGTCTCGTAATGCCGCCGAAGAGGTTCCAGCTGCAGCTTGACGTTGTAGCAGAGATCTGGCCGCGTGAAGACCACTACGGCGTGGGGGCTGAGCTCGAAGCCGTGCCGCGCCGCAGCCCACCGCGTCAGCGTCCACGCGGCGTGCCGGCCGAGCAGCGCGCGCCACCGAAACCAAGACGCGTGCTCGTAGCCTTTGGTCCAACGAAGCACCGCCCAAGCAAGACGCCCGCCAAACGCAGCTTGGACGACACGCTGCGAACGGAGGATTGGCGCAGTGGGCGGTGCGCCGTCGGAGAGCGCTGCTGTGGCGGCATCGTCCCTCGACCGAGAGCGGTCTGAGCGCGCAGCGTCAACCCGATGAGGAAAGACTGCGCTGGTCCACGAGCATGTGCCCGCAGCGTGGCGTAGCATAGACGCGGCCGAGTGATGTGCCACGCGGAACGAGCGAAAGTGCCCCCACATGAGCAGCACCACGCGTGGCCGAGCGCATTCCGCGCTTGGAGTCCACACACCCTCGTCCGCACCCAGCACACTGAGCAGTTGCGGATCATGCGGTAGCCGCCCGCGCTCCACCGTCTGCTGCCACAGTCCTGGGAGAGCGAACGGGTCCGCCGACTCTAACATGACAGACCTGGTTCGGGACAGACGCCTTTCGACGGCGGTTTTGCAATGATCCGCCGTCCCGCCCCCCGGGGGGGGGGGCAGAGTGGGTGAACCTTCTTTTCTACCAGGCTAGGATTGAGAGCAGCCTCGCTCACAATCCTAGAAGTCGAAGGATTGTGAGCAGCACTCCTCGCAATCGTAGCATCTCTGTCTTTGCGATTGTGAGCACCCACGCTCGCAATCCTGGATACCCATCACTGAGCCGACGATGCTACGGGTAGCCCCAGGGTGGCGCCCACCCCCACACCCTCAGGGACTTGGCTGCGGCCTGGCCGCGCACGCCGCGCGGGCCCGCGGACGCCCGCGCACGCCCGCGCACGCCGGGGGGACGTGCGCGCACGTGCGCGCAC